GGAGCGGGTCGATTGAAAAACAGGGATCTACTTAGCTTCAAGCCAGAATTAGTTGATTAATTACTTCTATAGGTTTTCCTCTTTGTTTTATTTGAACGAAACCCTCCACGTATTCGAATGAGATGACCTAATATCGGATTGGCTCATGAGTTACGGCTTGCGTGTGTCTCCAAATCTCGTGTACAAGATGGAGATTAGTGATTTTCACAGTATTTTATGGGAATTTCATGTTTACAAGATTGAGTGTTTGGTTTAATGGAATTCACGTACATATTTAGCGAAAATTTTCGGAAAAAAAATTGAAGGTGGATTTCACAACAAAGACCGTTTTCGATAGCACCCTTTTTATGTTCAGTCGAGGTGGTAAAGAGGCAGAAGCTGCACAAAAGGAGTTAGGCTGCGCTCATACTTTGCGGCAGCGTCCAATAGCGACCACCAACGTCTACCAGCGACCATCACCATCCGTCAGCGACTAGGAAAGTAAGATATCGATCCAGCGAACCGCATCATCTATCAGCGTCCACCAGCGTCCGCCAGCGACCATGAGCGTATCGAGGAACAAGGAAAATGTGGCGTTTGCAAGGAGGAGGCATAGAATTGGGAAGTAGGAGAGAAGCAGACTGTTGCTAGAGGGGGGGGGGAGTAGGAGGGAGGAGACAGCTGGATTATGCGGTGAAATCGTGGCGTGTGCAATCACATGTCGCAATATACTACACAAATACCAGACTCCTGATTGCTGGCAGACGACAGATCGATAGCCGTGCTTTCCTAGCCCTCTCGAGACGCTGATGATCGCTTACGGACGCTGGTGGACGCTGCAGATGCTGCCATTCGCCAGATCGATAGCTATTCATTCCGAGCCTGTGGCGCTGACGGACGCTCGAAACACTGATGGGATGGACGCCGGTGGTCGCTGGTGGACGCTGTCTCGGTGAACGCATCCTTAAGAAACGAAGTCTTTTGATACGCCTCGGACTTGACTGAAGCGAATAAAAGATGACAGTTTCTTGATTGTAACTTCATTAGCTAAGGATGATCCTTTCGGTCCGATGAGGAGCGACAACATCGTTTATCCCTGATATTTCTATCTAAATTAGAGGCGGGTCTTCGGGAATAAGCTCCTCATCGACCTCAACAGGACTTCAGGTGTGATGCATGCATGAATGAGCTCGATTGAAATCTTGAAATCGTGTGAGGAATTTTGAGCCATTCTAAGGAGCATTGCCTCTTGGCTATACTTCTCCACAAATGAGCTTCTTCTCTGGTAGTTTGAAAAGAAGGATGCTCCGAAAATGCTCAGTTTTATCGGCTTCACTCTACTTTTAATGGCCTGTAATTCAGCAAAGTGGAGCCGTTAGGCATATGTTTGGTTATAGAGACTAAATTCTGGATCACGGAAAAGCTGGTGAAGTCAGTTAAGTAGTCTAGCCCGAAACCAAGTTCGAAATTAGAAAAGAAATGTTGAAAAAAAATCAATGCTAATGAAAGAGTACACCTCTACAAATTGCCATCTGTTATAAAGCATACAGAACAGAAAAATGAACCCATTATATTTTATCAGTGATATTATAGATAGCATTAATACCTGTACAAATGGTCCGCCTCCTTTCCCTCCAGTTCCCAACAAGCTGGGTAGTCCATCGAGTAATCCACTGCATACAATGCCTAGTAAAGGTGAGAAATTTCATGGTACAGTGTGATCTAATTCTTAATAGCTCGTAAGCTCCAATGATTGATACCTCATGAAGTGCAATGATTCTTTGAAGGCAGTTGGCACGATAAATCCCCCAAGACGACTAGGATCAATACTCCTGGCAGGATAGAATTCCGCGACCCTGGGCAGGCGCTGCATAGCGGTTTCCCCGAGGAAGGTGCCCTTATAAGGGCCCTATCAAGCCACAACTTTACGTCCCAAACGCCCGCCACGCCCGCCCGCCCACAAACGACCGTTCCTGACGCTCGTATTCATTCATTTGCTAAGCAAATTATGAAGCGAAGGGATTGGTATGAAGCGGCCGTGATGCTGCATGCATACATGGGTACACATATGCAGCCGTATCTTCGGTAGCGGTGATTGGTAAGATGCCTACGGGAAACTCGTCCGAAATCGATTTACAAGTCACTGAGAACGGAGGCTTTTTCTTCGCAGGATTTTGACCGTTTCACTCCGTTCTTTCGCCATTTCCCCACTATACAGCGCCCTACTAGCATTTTAGGCTAAGTAGGAAACCATCGTGCCAACTGCCTTTAACGCTTTTATTTTTCTTCTACATAAATACCGGAATTTTCTTTAGTTTGTACAGATTGTAATGTTCTTGGCACAGTGGCAGCACGGGGGTAGCATTTTACGTGATTGATCGTCTAGAACTATTAGGTTGTCCGGAAAGTTCTCAGCGTTTTGAGTGTTTCACTTTAAACGATCATAACTTTCTTAATACTCATCGGATTTAATCGAAATAAGCACCGTTCGAATCAGCACACTTTTGCCAATGGAAGTTGGTCGAGAATCCACTAAATCCACGGAGGCTTTTTTTGCCTGGTCCTGATTGATGAAGTATTTTAGCAAGGAAGTTCTGAAAATGTTTGAAAAGGTGATAGTCGGTTGGTGAAAGGTCTGGAGAATGGCGGGTGAGGTAGAACTTCAACCCCCAATTCGTTCAATTTATGGATAGTGATTTGTGAAACGTGTGGGCGGGCGTTGTCATGCAAAAGAATCGGACCCTTTCTGTTGACAAGTGCTGGCTGCAGCTGACGCAATTTTCGGTACATTTCGTCGATTTCTTCACAGTAGGACTCTGCTGTGATGGTTTGGCCTGGTGACAAAAAGTTATAGTGGATCACACCAGCCGATGACCACCACACTGTGACCATAATCTTTTTTCGTGAGGATTCGGCTTTGGAAATTGCCTCGGTGGTTCGTCGGCATCCAACCACTGTCCGGAACGTCTCCTGTTATCATACATGATCCACTTTTCATCACAGGTGACAATTCGGTCCAAAAACGGGTCGTTTCTGTTGCGCAAAAGCAGTGAAGAAGAAACCTCGAGACGTGCCAATTTCTGCCGGTCACTCAAATTGTGGGGCACCCACTTGTCGAGTTTTTTCACCTTCCCAATGCGTTTCAGACCATCCGCAACAGTGGATTTGCCAACGCCTAGCTTTTCTGCAATCTCTCGAACTGTTTGGGATGGGTCAGCCTCCACAAAAATCCTCGTCAGGTATTGCTTTAGGTCGACCGCTACGAGGTTCATCTTCAAGGCTGAAATCTCCAGAACGAAATTTGTCGAACCATTGTCGCACGGTGCTTTCTCCAACACTATTGGGCCCCCACACCTGGTTAATTTGTCGAGCTGTCTCGACTGCGGATTGACCCAATTTTAGTTGAAGAAAAATATCGTCCGAAGTTGCTCTTTTGACATGCTTCAAAAAGTCTTGGGAAAAGGGGGGGTTTATCAAGCAATGGTGAAACGGCAATTATACCAAGGGAGAACGAGTTTTTAATCAGCACTGAATGTACAAAAAATAGTAACACAAAACGCTGAGAAGTTTCCGGACAAGGGTGCAAGTTCTTTACGTTTCGTGCGGGCACGGAGTACTCGAGGATGAGCAAGCAAATACGATTTTCTGTTTCTTTCTATAAATTCAAAAAGATGGTCATTCAATATCTTCGCGGTGTTAAATGCGTTGTCAAGGATTCAAATTGATAATTCTGTACTTGTTGTAAGCTTACATTGATTGTAGTCACATGTCACTGAGACATGTAATAAATGAAATGACAACCTAATAGAAGTTCGTGATCAATCTGAAAGGCCTGTAATCTAAAATATAGCGAAGATCTCGCGACAGTGATAAATGCATTTTAATACAATTGGTTTGACCTCGAAATTCTTGTTTTTGTGCCAATCCAGTTTTCTGTTCCATAGAGGGATGCAATCGAGAACCCGTGATAAGGGAGCTTGGCCTCGAACCTAGTGCTTTTAGAGAAAGAGCAAACATTACAGACTAACCAGCTGGGAGGGCAAACCGCTCCTCACGCTGTGTTACAGTTTACGAAAATTATTCGAAGACCAGTGGAGGAGCTACGGTCAGATTTGGGTGATTTGTTTTGCAGACAACATGTGTAGTGGTTGCTCCGCAACTTAGTCTTAGCAGCTCAACCAAAACACATGATTCCTGGTTGTTTTGCCCATGGTTTCTGAAACTAGAAAGTGCTGTTCTGGAAAAAGCCAACACAATAGCATATTGTTTATTGTGGCGTACTATTACGATCCTACAGTCGTTAAATCGGATGTCGCCCATATTTTCGATTTTCAGCCTCCCCACCTCAAGCAGGAAAGCGCTTGGAAATGAATGTGCGCATTCTGTTAAAACCCTTCTCTCATGCATTGTTTTAGGGTGCTCGTCCAGTATGATAGGAAAGCCATAATCTACGCAGCTTGACGAAAAGCTGTGCAATCACCTCCGCGGATCCTAGTTCTTGCCATATGCCACAGATGCAGTGGTATGCCATTTTCTCCACTCGAAATGCAGAGGAATGGGGTGTAGTGGGTTGGAAAGTGGTGTTACCCGGGTGCCGTTCGGGACTCTATCCGCACTGCCAAGACACGCTTAATCATAGCCCAACGCGCTACTCCACTGGAGGACCGCCATTTTCAACTCTGAATAGGGTATGGGAGTCTCAATTCTTCTTGTTCTTCATCGTTGAGGCGTTGATTAGCTTCATTACGCTGGCAAATACTGGGCCTTGAGGATTGTGCGGCGGAGTGCTGAATTAACTTCCCCTAAGCCTCATTCCCGCGCACTCTCAAGTGCTGAAAGTGCTACACTTCGCTACACCTCTACAGCTGCCAACCATTCTTCTCGCGCATGGCAGAACGTCCTCGGAGGTACAGTTTCTCCCTGAGCAACGAGTACACCATAAAGAACAGGTGAATGTCACAGCGCATATTCCTGTTAACTAGGTAAATCTTTCTGTAGACTCATTAGTGATATTCATCTTTTTATGTTCCAGTTAACAATCCGGTGAGGTAGGTGCACACTTCAGGTTGGCCAGGTTCACTCGCTATCTCATTGCGTTCGCACTGCAATACTTATCTAAAAAACTGGTCAACACTTCAGTCCAACAATGTTACTTTGAGAGAGAGAGAAATGTTAACAAAACAGGTTCCTTGACTCAAAAGCACGGATAGCATGTCATGCATTCCTTGGGCCGATTTTAAATGGAATTTTGCCAGATTTCAGCATGACAAACCTTATATCCCTTCTTCCTGTACTCCTCCACAATGTAAGGATGCTTGTCCAACCATTCGTTGCAAATCGTGGTATTGTTCCAGTCCGGAGCCTCTGGAGGCCGTCCCACGCGCCCAATTTTCTCCAAAGAACCACCTGAGACATAGATATTTGGAAGTACTTAGAATCTCTTCAATGAGTTGTTTTCGAGACCGAGAATATACCGAAAAGCAATGGAAACCAGTTTGACCTGCTGTCGCCACCAACTTTGTTGAGAAATTCCATTTGAACTGCTCCCATTTCCTCTTTCAAAAATTTCAACGTCCTTGGTAGGGACCTACAAAAGCATTAAATCGAGAACGTCTGGAAATACTAGAAATGCTCTCGGTAGGAGAAGCAGTGTTCAAAGAGCGAAGAAGCACCTTTTTGGAGAGTAGTGTGTAAGCACCGGCATTGAGAAATGTCATAAAAAATCTGTAAGAATGCCTGTCAAGGAAAGCGAAGTTGCATGTGTGTTGGCGCATAACGCCTCTTTATCCGTGAAGGAAACGGAGGCGGCTCTCGAGCAGATGAAAAGAAGGCAAGGCAACGGGCCCTGACGACGTGGCGGTCGAAGTATGGAAGTCACACTGCTGGCATGCTGCCGAATGGTTGACAATGTTTTCAATCAGGTCGTTGCAGAGAAGAAAATGCCTGAAGTATGGCAAGAGAGCACGACGGTACCGATCTGTAAGAAAAAAAGGCAGTCATGCGGTCTGCTCCAATTTGCTTGCTCTCGCACAGCATGAAAATTTTTGAGCGAATTGTTGATAAGCGTCTCGTGATATCGTCCAGCTCTCTACCAACCAGTGTGGCTTCGTGACTGGCTGTAGCACCATCGACGCCATACGTGACATCTTGCTAGAGAAACATCGTGAAAAGAAGAAGCATGTCCATCTAGCCTTCCTTGATCTGGAGAAGGCATTCGACCGTGTCCCACGTGAAGTTATATGGTATGCCTTACGGCAGCACGGCGTTCCCGAAGAGCTGATTGAGTGGGTACGCATCCTGTACTTCAGCCCGACGAGTCGAGTGCGAAGTCCAGCAGGCATTTCGATGGGGTTCCCCATCACAGTTGGGGTGCACCAAGGCTCAGCGCTTTCCCCGCTGCTCTTCGTTGTCGTCATGAACGCCATTTCACGGGACCTCCAGAAGCCGGCTCCTTGGACGCTTCTCTACGCTGACGATGTGATGCTCGCCTGCGAGGATAAGAATGGTCTCGAGGAACAAGTGCAAGCTTGGACTGAACGGTTAGCAAACTTCGGGCTCAGATTGAACGTCAAGAAAACCGAGTACCTGACGACTGACCCGGACGAGTCTGGTTCCCTTAGGGTCAGCGGCAGTGTGCTCACGCGAACGACAACGTTCAAATACCTCGGATCAACAATTACGTCTGACGGTAGTTTGACTCAGAAGTGAGCGCGCGTGTGAGTGCAGCCTGTTCTGAGCGGCCAATGACTGGCGTTCTCTGCGACAAGACGATACCAGATCGCCTCAAATCGAAGATCTATAGGACCGTCGTTCGACCAGTCGCGATATACGGCGCTGAATGCTGGCCTACGACCAAAGAAGTTGAAGCGCGCCTCAGAGTCATGAAAATGAAAATGGACCGCCGGTGTCACGCGTATGGATCGCATACGCAATGACGACATAAGAAAAAGATTCGGTGTAGCTCCTGTAGCCGAGAAAATGCTCCTTTGATGGTATGGTCATGTTCTTCGCGTGAACTGTGACACCGTCCGAAATTGGTCTTGAACTCAAGGTTCCCGGAAAGCGGCCTAAAGGACGCCTTCAAGCAACGCTGGTCAGACACGTTGCATGCGGACTTCAAAGATAGTTGGCACCCATCCCGATCAAGCATTCAATCGGGGAAGTGGCGAGACAAAATAAGACGAGCGGACCCTGCTACAGAGCAGGATTTACCTGCTACAGAGTGAGATTTACAACAATGCCCAGTTTAATATTGTTGTTATTACAAATAAATGATTTTCACAAGCAGAATGTATGCGGATACAATGCCTTTCCCTCTTCATTTTGCCTATTTTTGAAAGTCGCTTTGGAAAAAATGGATTCCTCTATTCCGAACAAACCTAGTGGGTGACGTTCTGCAGGCTCACTGATCTGGCGAAAGAACAGTTGCAAACAGAAAATTCAAATTGAGAACACATCAAATGATCCCTCTACCCTAAAAATACTCTTGTGGTCTTCTTCGAAATGGAAAAGTCGCGCCGGCAACTGTGGAGGAGGACGTATACAGCTCGTGAACCAGGAAATATCTACAATAATAAAAAATGTTACCAATTCAATTACGATCCCTTTTTCTCTATTGATCAAATGAGACCCTCTACTTGAGCTGGCTATTTTTTATTGCATGATATGTACTGTTGCGAATTTCGCATAAGGTCCGCCGCAGCACAAAATAGTCGTGGCAATACATTAGCACGTAGTGAGAAAGGCAGAACAGTTTTTTAGTTCCAGATGTAGCCATGCTTGCAAGTGTGATGGCAGGATGGTTAGGGCAGCAGGCTCTTTTTTGCACTAGAATGGGTTCTCTCAGTAAGCGATTTACTGTATCACTGGCGTCTGCAAAGAAGTGTCACTCGTACATATTCCATATGAGGCTGGTTTCATTTATAAATTTGTATATGACAGTACATATTGTACCTGTATACCTGTACAACAAAAGGCAATATTCAACTAAAACATTCAAATACTCAAAACTCAAAAAATATCGAGGAAATTCTAACCATGAAAGTCGTTAAAATCCTTGCTGAGACTCTTGCGGCGTACAGATGACATCGGCATCGAAAACAGATATCAGATTAGAGACCATCATTTAACCTCACAGATGCTTCTGACCATTTTGGGGTTGCAACAGCGTAGAGTAGGACTCATGTACATTAACGTATAATGTAGGACCACATACTATAGGGGTTTGTAACAAGCAACCGCTTACCACGCGCGCGGGTTGGCGGCCACAGAGGCCGAAACCCGGATTGGTCCCCCCCCAGGCCAACCAATTTTCCTTGGCTTCGGGGGCGGTGGAGTGGTATCAGATTCATATAGGAGGATAAAAGCCCTGACTGATACTTCGGCTGACCAGCGCAAGCCATTGCGTAGGTCGTGTAGCATTAAACCACACTATTCCGAGGGACTCCATGCCTCATCCCAAAAAGGTTTGATCAATGCGAAGCCGTATTATTCATTTACAATTTCCACTTTTTTTCATTTTTCATTGTTCAAACACAGATTCGTTTTTCGCACGCATTTCTTCGAATACAGCTCTCTTTTCGACAGGTGCTCTGGCTTTTTGCTTCATTGGTGGTACGCTTCCCATGTCATCGATTGACTGAGCTCTGCAACCTGCGAAAGGAAATAGTGTGCGTTGCCTTCAGAAAAAACTTAATCCAAAGCGCACTGGACGCTTTTCGAAACAATTCAATTTGAATTTAATTAAGAACTTCTAAAACATTATTAAAATTGAAATATTGAAAATATTGTTGAAATTACAATATTTTTACTTTCTTCTGTCTCTATTTCAAGGTGCAGTATTAATCGTATCCACATCCTCCTTGCCGTGTTGCGATTGTCCAACCCTCTTTGTTTGTTTCTATGATCCCATCTGCTATAAATGGCTTTTCGGAATGAGGTTCTAGGAAAATAACGATCAATTTTAAGTTGTAGCTTCTCGTAAAAGTTCACAAACACGGCAATGGAGATCCGATCTGTGTACGAATCGAGACTTCACGGTTGGAGATCTCGGCGCCTGCGGTGCTGCAAGTAGAGAGAGGAGTAATGAGAATGAACAAACAGAATGAAACGGGAAAAACCACAAAAGCTCGGTGGGTGGCAGAGTTTATTCGGGGTTCGGAAAGTTTTCTCGCAGGGTCGAATGCTCCCTATCCTCACTGACTAAATGCTGTATTTGACAATTCAACACCAACGTGATACTAATGGAGTGCTTCACTTCTTCAGCCCAGAAGACGTGAATTCATCACTGATGAAGCTTACTACCCATTGTCCTAACTTCTGAATCTGAAAAAACCACCTCACCTTTTGAACATGGATGACGAAGTTGAACCAATAAGTACAACGTAAACATTTGGCAACGAACTCTTTTGCTTATCCTCCCTGCAAATAATGCCGTAGTCAAGCAGTGTTGTGCAGGGGACCAGCTGTTACTTATATTGCTCCTAAAAAGAAGGAATTTCTCCCTACGTGCTGCTTTCGTGGATTTGCATGTGTAGATAACGTTCGGTTACGTCTTGTTGGCCACGCTTGGTTCGGTTGCATACTGTCTCAACAAAGTCGCATTCGAATGTCCAGTTTGTAGGGAGCTCGTGAAATTCACCCTCGGATGGGATGGAGTCTTTGTTTGGGAGCAAACACCTCAAATGCTCTCTAATATTCAATTGTTTGGCTAAGAAGAACTCTACATAAATAGTATAACTCTACGTAACTTGTGAAACTTGATGCACTTCGATCCCACACTTCAGACTGAACAACTTGACCCACTTATTGTACTTGGTGGGTCAACCCCTCGCTAATCATGTCCCACTTTTTCCCCCATCTCGGAACTGTTCTGGAGCCGAATGATGGATTTTTTTCAGTGAGACCGTTAACTTCCTCACGCATGCCCCGCCCACTGTGGGCGGGTCAAGCACACCGCAGATATGACGGACTCTCGCCAGATGTTTGTCTTCGCCATGGACTTTTTTGCGATCTCTAAACTCTCTCGGGGACCGAGACCGACATTTGTGGGAAGCACCGCCCATCTCAAGTACGCCCCGCCCATTTCGGGTGTGTCTCCTCCATTTGATGGGTCAACCCTTTGCTAACCTTAATCCACTTTCCCCATCTCGGGACTGCTCTGGAGCCGAATTATGAATTTTTCAGTGAGACCGCTAACTTTCAACGCATGCCCCGCCCACTGTGGGCGGGGCTTACCATGGGTTACGGTTGCTCTTTACATCTTGTCACATGCCCTACCCATCCCGACCTTGATAACCTCTCCAAGTTGTTCTTCAGGTCGAATCGAATTTCCGGACAGACAAACAAACAAGCAAACAAGCAAAACAAAGCAAATTATATATAGAAGTGGGTGATTGTAGTTGCACTTATTACACCTATATTACGACGCCCGCAGGCAACCCCTTACCTGTTCACCACTGGCTTGTTCCTTGTAGCTTTTCGATGGTCTGTCAGCCGATGTCCTCTATCCGTCTACGCTCAGGTTTTGTATCAGAAGAAAATTCAACTTGTTACGTTCCCTCTGGTAGAGGGTTGCCGGTTTAGGGTGGTTATCATTCTCGTCATCATTATTACTATTATTATCATCATCATTGTCTCCTAGTCTCGCGTCAACCGCATCATCCTCAACGCGGGTGTTGCACAATCAGCCTCGTTGTTGTTGCT